AAAACGCTTTTGTATTTTCGGTTTATTCCGAATATTTCTGTCGTTAAGCATAAAATTGCGCAACTTTTCCTCAATTTAATCGACCTATCTCTTATGGTTTCCGAGATCCCCATGCACACACTCGAATTTGTAACACCCTGTACCTACCTATATATACATTTGTTACGAAAGTACGAAAAGTATCGGTATACTTATACCCTGCGACTGGATGTAGTTTTAAAAGTACCTACATATACTACTTCAGTTCCGCGGTATATAATATCTTCACTATTGTTTTAGTAAGTAGGTAACTTTTGCTTTGCCAATGATTATACATTGTACCTTTACAGGTAGAAAAATGGTGTAAATACAAAAGTTGTACAGTTTTGGCTAAATTTTTAGAATCCATAGTCAGAAACAAAAATTGAATGTCAGAAATGTGAAATTTTGCATGCTTTCAGCTTTTTTCAAAAGGGATGCCCTATATTTGGTTCTATATTCTTGAAGAGCACAATGCCCCGATTCAAAAAATATATAGTTTTTCTATATTTGGTTGAGCAGTCTCTCATATATTCGGCTCCAAAAATTGTAATAGTTATTTACCTAACAAATGCGGAAAGTGATACTTTACCGCACGCAACGGCAGTTGACCGAACGACGCGAAGCGGAGTTCGGTCAAGCCGTTAAGGGCGGTAAAGGCACTTTCCGTATGTGTTAGGTACAAAATTTTACCTATGAGCATCTACATCTCCAAAAAAAGGCATTAATAAAATTAATTAATGAATCAGATTAATTAATGAAATTAGATTAGATTTAGAAATGATCAAAAATCCATTTTCCGAAAAACAAAGGAATTTTGATTATAAATATCAAATTCTACTTAACCGCACACCATCCGGTAAAGTGCACTTTACCGCACACTTTGTAGTCCACTTTACCGCATACTATGCTGTAAAGTTAACTTTACCGCACACTATGCGGTAAAGTGGTGTGCGGTAAAGTGCTACTTTCCATTTTCAAATACGTGCGGTAAAGTGCACTTTACCGCACGCTCGTAGGTAATAGCTATTTACCTAACAAGTGCGGAAAATGATTTTTTCCGCATGCGGCTGCCGTTCACCGAACGACGCGTAGCGGAGTTCGGTGAAGCAGCCGAGTGCGGAAAAAATCATTTTCCGCAAGTGTTAGGTACAATATTTTTCCTACAGGCGTAAAAATGTAAAATTTTTCTTTTTTTTTTTGACAGATCAGTGCGGTAAAACTTTTTCCGCACTGACAGCCGTGCGGCAAAACTTTTTCCGCACTGATATGCGTGCGGTAAAATTTTTACCGCACCGTGCGGGAAAACTCATTTTCCGCACGCATATCAGTGCGGAAAATCGATTTTTCCGCACGGCTGTAGGAAATAGTTATTTTCCTAACAAGTGCGCAAAGTGTTACTTTTCCGCACGCAAACACAGTTATACGAACGACGCGAAGCGGAGTTCGGATAAGTGTTTGCGTGCGGAAAAGACACTTTGCGCACGTGTTAGGAACAAAATTTTTCCTACGAGCTTCATATCAGGTAGGTAACAACAAAAATTTTTAAAAAAATAATTTGTTCAACTATCTCCAATTAACTTGAAGCGAACCTATTCAGTCATCAAAAAATTACATAACAAACAAAAAGAGCAAAAAATTGAAATCTTCGTCAGAGCTGTTCATCTTAAAGCGTTTAAATTTGATGCGAGAGGTTTGTAAATTCTTGCATGTAAATGGAGAACACAAATTCGACAATGTGTCAAAGTTAACTATTCAGTGTTTGTATAGATGTTGGCTGATATGGAAACATAGGAAAAATTTGTCATCATGTGTCAAAGTCGACAGGTGCACTTATTGTTACTTGCCAATTATTTTTACTTTTCGGCACTCAGTGCGGATAAGGCCTGTATCCGCACTGAGTGCGGAAAAGTGTAACTTTGAGAACGGAAATGCGTGCGGAAAAGTACTACTTTGCGCACGCTCGTAGGAAATAGTTATTTTCCTAACAAGTGCGCAAAGTGTCACTTTTCCGCACGCAAACACAGTTATACGAACGACGCGAAGCGGAGTTCGGATACGTGTTTGCGTGCGGAAAAGACACTTTGCGCACGTGTTAGGAACAACATTTTTCCTACGAGCTTCATATTAGGTAGGTAACAAGATTTTTTTTTTTTTTTAAACCCATAATTTGTTCAATTATTTTTAATTAACTTGAAGCGAACCTATACATTTATCAAAAAATTACCTAATAAAAAAAATAACAGAAAATCCTCGTCAGAGCTGTTCATCTTAAAGCATTTAAATTTGATGATAAAGTTTGTAGATTCTTGCATATAAATAGAGAACAAATCTGACAATGTGTCAAGGTTAATTTATATTTGGTGTTTGTATTGATGTTGGCTGATATAGAAACCGAGAAAAAATTTGTCATCATGTGTCAAAGTCGACAGGTGCACTTATTGTTGCTTGACAAGTATTTTTACTTTTCGGCACTCAGTGCGGATAAGGCCTGTATCCGCACTGAGTGCGGAAAAGTGTAACTTTGAGCCCTGGAATGCGTGCGGAAAAGTACTTCTTTGCGCACGCTCGTAGGAAAAAATATTTTCCTACGAGCGTGCGCAAAGTATTACTTTTCCGCACGCATTTCGGTACTCAAAGTTACACTTTTCCGCACTCAGTGCGGATACAGGCCTTATCCGCACTGAGTGCCGAAAAGTAAAAATAATTGTCAAGCAACAATAAGTGCACCTGTCGACTTTGACACATGATGGCAAATTTTTCCTCTGTTTCTATATCAACCAACATCTATACAAACACCAAATTTAATTAACTTGGACACATTTTCAGATTTTGTTCTCTATTTATATGCAAGAATCTACAAACTTTCTCATCAAATTAAAACGCTTTAAGATGAATAGCTCTGACGAGGATTTTCTGTTATTTTTTTTTTGTTATGTAATTTTTTTTATAAATGCATAGATTCGCTTCAAGCTTCAAGTTAATTCAAAATAATTGAACAAATTATTGTTTTTTTTTTTTTAAATTTTTGTTTTTACCTACCTGATATGAAGTTCGTAGGAAAAATTTTGTTCCTAACACGTGCGCAAAGTGTCTTTTCCGCACGCAAACACTTATCCGAACTCCGCTTCGCGTCGTTCGTATAACTGTGTTTGCGTGCGGAAAAGTAACACTTTGCGCACTTGTTAGGAAAATAACTATTTCCTACGAGCGTGCGCAAAGAAGTACTTTTCCGCACGCATTCCAGGGCTCAAAGTTACACTTTTCCGCACTCAGTGCGGATACAGGCCTTATCCGCACTGAGTGCCGAAAAGTAAAAATACTTGTCAAGCAACAATAAGTGCACCTGTCGACTTTGACACATGATGACAAATTTTTTCTCGGTTTCTATATCAGCCAACATCAATACAAACACCAAATATAAATTAACCTTGACACATTGTCAGATTTGTTCTCTATTTATATGCAAGAATCTACAAACTTTATCATCAAATTTAAATGCTTTAAGATGAACAGCTCTGACGAGGATTTTCTGTTATTTTTTTTATTAGGTAATTTTTTGATAAATGTATAGGTTCGCTTCAAGTTAATTAAAAATAATTGAACAAATTATGGGTTTAAAAAAAAAAAAAAATCTTGTTACCTACCTGATATGAAGCTCGTAGGAAAAATGTTGTTCCTAACACGTGCGCAAAGTGTCTTTTCCGCACGCAAACACGTATCCGAACTCCGCTTCGCGTCGTTCGTATAACTGTGTTTGCGTGCGGAAAAGTGACACTTTGCGCACTTGTTAGGAAAATAACTATATCCTACTGACTGACAATTAATCTACCTGTCAAGGTGAAAGCTGCAGGTGAAATTTGAGTTATTGTCAATATATAAAAAAACACCCTGTACCTATACATTGACACCTCGATGCCCGATGGGATGGGCCCCTCCTACTAATCAGTAATCACTATCGGTATATGATGAAGAACCGCATATTACTTACTTATGAATTTTCTAAAAATTTGGTGGTGATTTACTTATTTAGAGGGAGCAAAATTTCTATTCCCAGTAGCGAGGAAATAATCTTCCTCCTCGTGGGGAAAATAACCATTTTTCTCCGTTTTTTAGGGGTCGAAAATGACGTTTTCTAGTAAGATAGTAGAGGAAAAATTATTATCTACTGTGGAAAGCGAAGCTTTGCAACATCGGCAACCTTGCCAGTTTTGAGTTTTGTTTTGCAAAAACATCGCTGGCAAGGATATGAAAAATGGTTGAAAATAGATTTTAGTTGGTGACATATGTTTAGGAATTCGACCCCGAAATTTTTATTCTAAATTTCATTGCCGTACACCTGGTATTCAAATCAAGTGGGGTATGACTTAATAGGATATTAGTCACACGTCTTTATTGTTATTTACCGCACATATATTATTATGTTTTCTACAGCATTTGCATTGGTTATTCTCGCTTGCAGTACCGCAGCTGTAAATCAAATAGAAGACGTTTTCTCTTTCATAACTAGTACCAAGCTTAGAACTCTCTTCAACTCTTCTCCAGCAATTCTCCAACCAGAAGAATTTAGATCATATTTATCACTGTTTTTACTCTTTTTTTTTGGGATACTTATTTAACATATTTCTAGAAAAAAGGACGTATTAGGTACTTGGCTAATTTCGTTCAAAAAGTTCCTAAAAATAATTAGAGGTAAGTTGTAGCAGTAGTTTACGGGATTAATGCTCGAATTATCAATCTCAACACCGGACTTCCTTTAGTTGAGACTGTTGAGAGAATATAAAACGGGTTGAGGAGGGCTCACTCGAATTATGATAACCAAAGACGGAGGTTTGGGGTCAGGAGTAGACGTTCCTGTTCCGAAATGCGACTGGTAACATCCTTACCTATAAGTAATAACGTCTGTATATACGCTCTGACTATTTAAAAAAAATATATTTCAACTATCTATTTATTTATTTCGAGCTAATAAAACAATACAGTTGATTTCGAAACAATTTATTTAACTTAAAACAAAAATAATAATCAAATAACATATTGAGCTGAAATTCAGAATTAAGTTATGCATTGACTTTCAACCAAAAAGGTTCAAATAATAATTTACATTCGAAATATATTATATATTAATTTATATTAGAAATAACATATTCAGCTGAAATTGAGAATTAAGTTATGCATTGACTTTTAACCAAAAAAAGGTTCCAATAATTAATTTACATTTAAAATATTATATTAGAAAAAAATAATTAAAATTAAAAATTCAAACTAGGAAAGACTTATGTTGCTACACCTAACAGATGTCTTCTATATCGTTATCATTATCATAAAAACAAAAAATGTTGCCTATATAATCTAATTCACCTACATAATATTATAGTACCTAATATGTAATAATAAATTGCAAATGATATATGATAACCCATATTTTTGTGTGTCTCATGTATAAAATGGATTGGCTGTGGAAACAAAGGCACCTGCATTAATTCTGATACAAAAGTCCATAGTTTCTTGTTACTAACTGAGAGCTGATTAGAAAATGTAATTCGGCCTTTTAGGAAACAAAGTTATACTTTTAAAAATATCATGATTCCGAACAGAGGAAACGAAACTGTAAATACATTAGGATATGTAAAGCAGTCAAGTTTGGACGCAATTAAAAAATATAAATATCATTTTTAATGAGAGCATTAAACATGTTTGTTATTTATTTGACTAATTATTGTGTTTACTCAACACTTACGCCCTAAATTGATTAAGTATAAATATATTATTAATATTTTTACTTTATGGTACTCATATAAAATAGATTTATGTTTAGAGTGTGAGTTGGAAAACATGTAAGCTTTGTTTCACCAGGGTTCATACTTTTTGCCTTCCTTTTTTAATAAATGGAAAATGACTGAAACACATCAATAACGTCAAAAACGTTCGTCGGCTCTAAAACCAGAACTCATTTATTTTAATTTGTCAAAAAAATGTAACTACCTATCTCGACAAAATCTAAGATTGCAAATTTTAAAGTGAGATTTAAAATAAAAAAGATGAGAAAATATTATCATCCCCCATCCTATCTATTGCTGGTGAGAAGGGACACACTTGGAATCGTCATTTGTTTACTTCTACCTCGACAACATCCATGAACTAACAATAATTATTACATTTGGCCCCTCAGGCCGAGCGCCTCATAAAAATAGTCTTTTTATTTTTCAGATATCAAAATATATTTTTTTTACCAAAAATAGTAGAACCTCAGAAGAACTGACATACTATTGCAGTTTTGGTGCTGATTTTCCTTTGACACTAGCTGATGGAAAAAATATTGCCTGTTCAATATATAAAAAATTGGTGCAACCACTAACATCCTTATTATAAACTATATATTATTATAGATAAACTAGTACATATTATTACCTATTAAAAATATCCTTTACTGATGCAGCATTAGATTATAATTAATACTTTTAGAGGTTCCTTAATTATAGCTTATACATTATATTATCTTTGAAGGAATAATTAATTCTAAAATATGATGGCATAATAAATAGTTTCTTGAAATTACAGTCAAAATTTATTCCAAAACACCATCATACCATACAATCTCAGAGCTACAAAGTAAATAATAAATCTAAAGCAGCATCTCCCTTAATATTACGAGTTGCCACTTTCTAACTCTTCTGCAGTATCTTTTAGACTTTTGAGTAGTTCGATAGGTGAGGGAACTCCGTTCGACTTTTTACTGTCTTCGGAAATGCTTTTTCTGGAATTTTTTCGACTTCTTGGCTTCCTTCTTGAGATGGCGTCGCAGGTGCCTTTCGGTATGAACGTGGTCCACTCATTTGATTTCGGATCCAGATATTCGATGGTATTCAGGAATGCTTTGCCTTTAAAGAATAAATACTTGTTGAAATAGAGATTTATAAAAAATACATATCTAGATATTGAAGGTATAGCGACTATAGCTGTTGAAAATGGAATCTTATAGAGTAAAAATCAAACGAGAAGAAGCCACACGGGTTATCGTTTGTCTCACTTTAAATGGTAGGGACGCACAGAAAAGGAAATCTGCTTTCTTTGTCAGCGCTGATGACAGTGGCTTCTTCTCGTTTGATTTTTACTCTATACAGTACCTACATACTAATATTTTTGCTGCCACGAACTATTGTGATAGTTGCACGTATTATTTGTTTTTTTTTTTCTAGAAAAATATATTTATAATTGAACTAGGTATAGAACTACAGGTGCGAAGAATTTTGGCTTCTTAAATGGTTACATTCATCCATTCAAGGGGTCTTCCTAATTCCAGATTTCAGTTACACATGTTAATACTGTCCCTGATAATCCAGTGTGACGTCACAAACACCTAGTTGTAACTTTAAACCGCCCTAATTTGAAAACGGACCATCATAGCAAGATGCAGTTTAAATAATTATTCTTAAATTTTTTTGCACTACAACTTTCATTTTTGGGTCACACCCCCTTCAAAACAGCTCCCAGCCCATAATTAGAGGCATCAGTTTATTAATAAAACATCCTGTCGAAATAAGGTGCAGTTAGAATTGGAGCACTGACTAAACATTCTTTGAGGAGTGTGAAATATTTCTGGCAATCTGGAGTCCAGGTAAATTTAACGTTCTTTTTAGTTAAATTAAGAATGGGTGCTAACATCGAGAAAATTCTGGGACAAAACGCCGATACCAGGAAGCAGCTCCCACATATCTGCGAACTTCATTGATATTTTTCGGTGGTGGAATGTTAACAATAGCCTCAATCTTTTCTGGATAAGTGCGTAGTCCTTTCCTATTAACCAGATAGCGAAGGTACTGTAATTCTGGCTTGCAAAAGTGGCATTTTTTTAATGAAATAATTAGTTCAGCCTGACGCAAGCGATCGAATACAACCTCCAAAAGTCGCAAATGTTCTGAAAAGGAGTTCGAAATTATCAGTACGTCATCAATGTGGCACATGACGTTTGGTTCGAGCTCTGGACCAAGGATAGTGTCGATGATTCTTTGCCAGGTTGCAGGAGCATTAGATAAGCCAAATAGCATCCGACAGAGTTGGAAGAGTCCTCTGCCAGGGACAGTAAATGCAGTGTACTCCTTGGAAGATGTACTCAAAGGGACCTGCCAAAATGCTGACTTAATATCGATGGAACTGATATATAACCGATCCAAAATCGTGGAAATATATGGAAGAGGATACGCGTCTTTTTTTTTAATATTTACTGGCCTGCCTAAAATCGATGCCAAATCTGAACAATCCATCCTTTTTCTGAGCAAGGCACATAGAACTAGACCAAGGACTACTAGAACGCTCAATGACTCCCAACTTCAACATTCCCTCAACTTCGTCATCTATGAACTTTTGTTTGAAAGGAGAGACAGGGTAATACCTTTGTTTTACGGGTTTTGAACCTTGCAGCAACCGAGTCCAGTACCCATCTCTGCAATTTTCTGCTCTACAAGGGTGTCTAAAGCAGATCCTTCTGACGGAGTCAAATTGTCTCCATCTTGGATAGACAAAATATCAGTTTCACCAGCAGACTCAGAAAAATGCCAAACATCTCCTCTAAGATCTGGGATAATTTTCATGGTTTTCCAGAAGGCTATTCCAAGAAAGATTTAATGTGAAAGTTCAGGAAGTACGACATTAATAATGTGAGTTTTGTGTTTTGTCCATTAAGGTTATAGGTGTTTGAATGTAACCTATGCTTGTGCAAGTTTGGCCATTAGTCACAGTACAAGAATTTTGTTGTTTTACCGACTTGAAACCTAAGCGCAAAAGAGTGTCATATCCAGGCAACCCAACCAGTGTACGACTAGCACCTGAGTCAAGTAGACCTAACATAGGATATCCCAATATTTTAAATTCAAAGTATGGACGCTGATCACCTTGCGCATCTGATACAATGTAGTCGAAAAGGAGTCTATCACCAAAATCATCAAGGTTATTGGTCGCTTGGGTGTGTATGTTAGAAATCTCGCGACCTAATGATTTCCCCTGGGACCGTTTCCCGAGTTACCACATTTAAGACAGAATTCCTAACTGTGAGGTTAGGGTTACCACATCGATAGCAATGGGTTTTCCTAGGGTTAGGACAATCTCTATTCAAATGACCGGATTTCTGGCAATTCCAACAAATCAAATTGGGTGAGTTATTTTGTGGTCTTGACCTTTGAGGACCATTGTTGGATAAATCTACTCTGTCAATGCCAAAGGAATCTACATCATTGTTCAAGACAGAATTGGTCAAAATGGAATTAGGTTGGTCGACCTCAACAAAAGCAAAATCAGGTTCTACAAATTGTTGACGTTTTCTGGAAGGTGGAACATAATGCTCATTTTTGTCTCCAGCTTAAGACATTCACGCTCTAGTTCTTCAAGTGAGTTAACAACTAGGAGTTGAGTTGTGTTAAAAGGTGATAAATTCCTAGACAAAATATCCAATTGGGTTTCAGGGGTCAATCCATCGTAACGTCTAAACAAGGCTTGCATACAAGACAGGTAGTCTACAATGTTTTCTGAGATAAATATTTTGGGTTCCCTCCAAAATCTCTCTAAAAAGTCTAGCTCGGTGATCAGGTGGTTCAAAGTGAAGACGAAGCAACTCATAAAAGGTTTTCCAAGTATCAAATTTGTCCCGGTTTGCCCTATACCTATTCAAGGTTTTACCTGTGAACAGATGTATGGCACTATCGAAAAGTTGGTTTTCTGTGACTTGACGGGATTTACTTAGTATGGCCACTCTCTCTAGGAAATTATTTACAGACAATTTAAAGTCATCAAAAAATTTGAGGTTCCATATTTCTCTAGATTTGGAGCTTTAGAACTACTAGACGCAATTTGTGCTTGTGGAGTGAATCGATGGTTGGTGGAGTTATGTACTGGAGAAGATACATGGAATTCAACAGCATCGAGCTGTCGACTAAGTTCAGGATCAGCTCGAACAACAGCCTCCAAATGATCTAATGCAGCCAAAACATCATTAAGGAGTTCATTCTTCTCAGACCGTAGAGTCAGGAATTCCTTTTATCCGCTCAAGCAAATACACTAACCTTGAATTTGAATTTGAATTTGAATTTGTAAGGGAGCAAATTTATTTTGGCTTGCTTCACCTGATATAGTGGGAATAACATTATTAGCCTCATCAAGAAATTGCCGAATTTGTACCATCTCAATATCGAAATTAAGGGAATATGGGGCAAAAGAACATGCTCTAGACTTTTCCAATCCTAAAAGCGGTCGCAATATAGACCCTAATTCGTCAACAGTCTTCGTATCATTAACTGAGACACCTCGGACAATAATCTCATGAATTAGCATTTCCTTTTTTAGGTGCGAGATAGTCATCTTGTAATCCATTTTAATATAAATAATTGGCTCTCGTACACAGGGGTTCGAAATATCTGTTACTAAAAATAATCAAAACGGCTCCCTCGCTTCACTAAATACTGATTATAAAAAAAGTTTAAAGATAGAAATTGAAATTTGATTCTATGCACTTAAAACAGCCAAAAGATAATGAATAATAATATATAGGTATAAAGGAAGAAAAAAAAAATAAAAAATAAAAGAAAAGAAAAAAGTATTTTACCAAAAGAGCAGAAAACCTCTTATTCAAATAGCGGTCCCAAGTTGGGCGCCAATTCATTTGCCACGCTTTTTCTGTATTAAACAATTTAAAGTGAAAATAAAAAAGTAAATATTCAAGATCAGGACTAAAGATCAAAGTATGTGCAAATTAAAACTTACCGAAATGGTTTTTGAAAATACGGAATCATCGGCGAAATTATGGCACATTACGAAAACGTAACCCAACGTAAGGCAACTGAATGTACCATAAATTCAATAACTGAGAAAATTAGGTCCAAAAACCCCTTTAGGGCGAAAACAATTAAATTCTTCATGAGAGACCCTTTTCTCGGAACAAACAAATCGTAAAAGGAAGATTCAGATTCACCACAATAAGCTGTCCTAGATTTGAAGAATAGAGATAAGGCAAAATAACGACAAATGACAAAAATAAATCGGTAAAATTTTAACTACCAAAAATTGCACACAACAATATAATCAGAGAAAAATGACAACAGCTAACAATCAATGATAGCAACAACAAGTAGTTAACCACTAGAACAAGACGTTGGCACATTACAAAGTTAATTATCGCTCTGCTTTTTCAAACCCTTCTCTATATTGGGTCAAGCTTTCTGACAGTAATTTAGGAGATAGAGATAATAGTACCTAACTATTTACTCACCGGAAAATCCTCCAACAGCATACAATCTATCGCCAACCACCGCCAGTTCCACATTTGCCCTAGCAGTTGTCATGCCAGGTCCTCCAGACCAAGTCTGAGTTTCTTCATCAAATATTTCAGTGGTGTTCAGCGAGTGACTGCCATCAGATCCTCCGACAACGTACAGTTTGTCGTTGAAAACGGCAACACCGCATCCACGGCGAGCAGTATTGATAGGTTTCGATAGTTTCCAAGTGTTGTCTTCTGAGTTGTACACTTCCACTGAAGCGAGGCAGTTCCAAGAGTCGCAACCACCGATGGCGTAGACTAGAGTTCTGTAGGCTGTCACACCTGCTTGATAACGACCTGGGAAAAGTACTTGATTTAAATTTAATGCACAAATAGAAAATGGCTAAAATTACCTGTGTTAAGAGGTGCTATCGAAGACCAAGTTTGGTTTTCTGGATCGAATATGTCACACTGTTTCAAACCCACTTGTCCGTTCCATCCGCCCACACAATAAATCAATCCATTCATTTCGGTGACACCCAAATTGCTTCTTGCAATTGACATGGGAGGCATTTTTATCCATTTACCATTTTTCTCCATGTCTAACATCTCAACTGAGTCCAGCTCAGTTGTTCCGTTACTTCCACCAATGGCATATACCTATGCAAAAAAAATTTAAATTTATGGACAATGTCACACTTTTTACTGCATTGATGTTTTAATTTTCTACTTAGTAACCCTATACATGTAAGTTGAATAAATTTCATACCATATTATTAACCACAGTTATCTTGAAACGGCCACGACTTTCTCTCATTTGAGGCATATTTTTCCAAATATTCATTTCTGGAATGTATTGTTCAACTGAACGTAGGCATTCTACTCTATCATAACCACCTGGAACCAGAAAATGACGATTATTGAAATGCAGGAAAGTACAGAAAAACATATTTTTCAGATCTTACCGCAAACTAAAAGCGTATTCTGGAAGTTTGCACACCCATGGGCGCACCTTTGTGAAGTCATATTAGTTAAAGCGCAATAGAGATCAGGTTTTTCCTCACTCTGTGAACGACTGGCGTCTGGAGTTAGAGTGGGAGAAGGAGTTTGTGGAGGATTCAGTCTAAAAAATAATATATTTTTTTAAAAACCTACTTGTGCTTGTTAAGAAAAGAAATTATACCTCAATTGAATGGAAAGTGTAGCAAGTTTACCAGACAAAGTAACCAATGCCAAGAAACTGTGGTCGCCCACAGTTTCAGCAGCGATGAGATTCCAATCAGGTTCGATCTCGTTTTCCAATTCTTCACCGATTTCCCGATTGTAAATCAGAACTCTTGGTTTCGAAGGCTGACTCAAAGTCTTCTTTTTGATTTTCGACGAGGTATTTTTCAGAGACATTTTTTTGTAATCTTGAACGATTTCAGTATCGCTGACATCACCTAGTAAAAGTTTAATATGTAAATATTTACAAAATTAGTGAACCAAAATAGTTACCTGAAGGTAACGACATACAATCCTGCAGCGAATTGTCAATGGCAAGATACAGCATAAAGGTTTTTTCTGATAGACCATCTTTATTCAGTAGATCGTCATTGATTTGCTTTTTGATCCATTCAAGCACAAGACGGCATAAAGAGTTCTGGTTTACAAAGGACATTTCTTCTTTTGATTGATTTAGTACCTCGATTTTGGCGCAGTATAACGAAAGGAGATTATTGCTTTTTACTATCTCAGGGAACTAGAAATAAATTAGTATTTATATAAATATGTACAGGATTTTGTTTTCAATATATGATATAAATAAACAAGAATCTACGTTAATTCTAGAGATTTCTCGATTGAATAGTGCGTATTTGATAAGTTTTAGTCAGTTTCAAATAAGAGAATTATTGTTACTTAAGTAAAAGCTAATTTTGTTTTTTGTTTGTCACTTAGTTTAATAAAAGTTGTTGTTATAAGTAAAGAGGATTTTGATGGACTCACATGACAGTATTTGGGTTAAAAATAACCTTCACATCTTACATAGCAAATTTTCAACCCAAGTATTGTCTATGATAGGAAAACAACTCCAAGCTATAAGTTATGTGAACAAAGTTGCAAAGTTGTTTTTAATTACCTAGAAGCAGACTCAGCAAACCAGAGCTGTATTCAAGCCAACAGGACAGGTACCCACAAATAAACCGGAACCAATATGCACAAGATCTCGATATAATTTACCAAATCAGAATATGCAAGATAATCAATTTTTTAAGCCATCGGGTCCTCGAAACTACGTTTCCCAAGAATTGTACCAAATTGATGAAACCCAAACAGAACAGCCTGTTGAAACCACTGATACTGATGATCAGGAATTATATAAAAACCTACAGAAGGCCTTCCTGAAGAATATCAAGCCATAAATCTTGCTGATCAATACCAATCTCAATACTTTAACTCATATTATGGAGATTACTCCCAATAATATAATATGCCTGACGCATATTACCCAAATTCTTATAAAAATGCCCAGCAATTCTATGAAGAGCCAGAAAACATTGAAAATTCTCAGATAGCCAGCCCAACGAACCCTGGGAACTGAGATTTAATATGCATACGGGAATAAACAACATCTTGCCATATATTACGATACAAAATCCACCGTTAAGACTTTTAATCGACACTGGTTGTTACCGTTCTATTATACGACCATCTATTGCAGAAAAATATTTTCCGAAGAAAGTTTATATCATCTTACGATGAAAATAAAAACAGGTATAGGTGAAAAGGAAACTCTTTTCAAAGCCAAAATTCCCAATTTTCCTGAATTCAGAAACGACTTTTATTCTCTTTGATTTTCAGCATTATTTTGATGGCATTATTGAACTAAACGAATTATTAAGATTTAATTTCGTAATTGACTTAATAAATAAAAAATTAGTCAGCGAAAATACCCATCATTTACAGAGAAACAAATAAAAAAATACACAGCATCACATTAAGCGTTCACCAGGTCATTACCACGAACGTACCAGTCTCACAAAATAATGTGGATATCATTATACCTGAGAGCGAGGATATGCACAAATGGAAATTTACAACTATACTGACAATCCTATAACATTACAGTTCATAGAACCCCTACAGGTATGAACTTCACCAGATTTTCACAAAGAAACTTTTAATTTTTTCCACATCGAAGACTTAATCGAAGATCTCTGACCAGAAAAATCCAAAAGAAAACAAAACCCCATAAATATACAAAATTTGATTCGATCTGATCATTTAAATACTGAAAAAAAAAGCCAGTCTCTTCAAACTTCCTAAAAGATTCTCAGACATTTTTCACCAGGAAGGAGAAAAATTAGCTTGTACAAATAAAATAAAACACGTCATCAAACCCACCGATGAAATACCAGTACAACTGGTATCCATTTATCCATAAAGAAGAGGTTCAAAGGCAAATAAACAAAATGTTAGATGCAGGAATAATCCAACAGAGCCAAAGTCTATGGAGTAGTCCTATACGTTCTCCAAAAAATTAGATTCCAGTGGCAAACAAAAATGGAAAATATGCGTCGACTATAGGGGCTGTAACCAAAAACCTATAGGCGATCGCTATCCACTGCCAAATATTAACGATATTTTGTATAGGTTAGGAAGATGCACTTATTTTTCTACCATAGATTCATCTTCGTGATTCCACCAAATAGAGATGGACCCAGGATCTATTGAAAAAACAGCTTTCAACATAGAGAAGGGGCATTATGAGTATCTGAGAATGCCCTTGGGATTAAAAAATGCGCCTGCAACGTTCCAGCGCATCATGAACAACATTCTACGGGACTTAATTGTAAAAGTATGCCTTGTGTAAATAGATGACAACATCATATTTTCATGCAGCCTGCAAGAACATATAAAAGACCTCCAACAAGTATTTGAGAAATTACAAGAGTCAAGGTTAAAAGTGCAACTTGACAAATCAGAATTTCTCAGGACAGAAGTTGAATTTCTTGGACATGTGATCATAAAAGATGGAATTAAACCAAATCCTCAGGAAGCTAATAGCATTCCAGAAATTCCCAATTCCAAAGACAGCAAAAGAAATAAAATCATTCTTAGGACTGTTAGGATACTACAGACGATTCATTAAACGATTTGCAAAGCTGACAAAACCACCACAAAATCCCTCAAGAAAGTTGCAGAGTTATTTTTAATTACCTAGATACAGACTCAGCAAATCAGAGCTTATAAATATTTGTATTCATGCTTTTAAAGTTATTCTTCATTTAACTAATATAAGCTTTAGGCTAGAACACTCTATTGTAATTTTCGAAATAAAATTGATTTTAAAAACAGTATTTTCAGTTTAAAATACATAACTTATAGGATCAGAGTTACAATATAGTTCAAATTTGTAGTGCGATTATAATAGGTAAAGTCAAAATCTTACATTCTTAGATATGAAAACGTCGATCTGTTGTATGAAGTCTTTATTTTTCGCTATACCAGGTAAAGAGCGTATCTCAATACAGTTGTCCACTGTAAGATGCTTTATCAAATGTTTGCCGCATATCTTAACTACTCTGTCCATCTTAAGGTGAGTTGCGGCCAGAAATACTGCTCTAACCTGCAATAAGAACAACATTTACATACAAAATTATCTATAAATCATCAGATAAATACCTGTGGGTATTTGACGATAAGTTTGGCTGTATAGGCATAATCTGCAAGAATCTCCAAAGCCTGCTGATCAAAACCTCCATTCAGTTTATAGGTGATGACACTTTCTAATCGTTGCTGATGCTGATCCTGTTCTGTTGTGAATAGTTCGAAGAGGTAAGGAGAGGCGCTAGCCAATACAGCTCTGTGAGCATGTATTTCTGTGTTGCCAACCTAATAAATACATTTTTATTATAACATGTGTAGGGGTTGTTTTTTATATGAGAATTCACTTTAAAAGATTTTTAATTTGATTCAATAAAAATGTAATGTTGTAATAGTGAATTCTCGATAATTATCAATCTACTATAAGGCTACTCTTAAATTTTTCATAAAAAAAATCGTTAGAAACAAAAAAAAAAAAAAAAATAAGTAAAAAATAAAAAATGGTTACCGTCACCTAACTTGGCGGGTATTCTGTAAACAGATAAAATTAAAACGTTCTCTCATATAAAGAACGACATTATGCATATTGTAATATTTACCCAAAAAAATTATCTGTAATCAACAAATCTGAATGGCTGCATTCTAAATAACTGCGGTTTTGAGACAAAAAATATAATTAAAGCCTGGAATTAAAATTTAGTCTTAAAACCACAAAAAAGTTGACTTGAAATTGGAATAGATTATGTCATATTTCAATTATTATGTTTTGAATTTATTCTTGAACAATGAATTTACAGCAAAAATGCGAATCAACTTTTTGCATTGGATATAAATGTTTATGCAATGTTAATTAACAAACACTTAGGTGTAAAAAAGACAAACCAACAAGTGTCTTAAACAGGCAGTTTAACATATTATGTATATCCAACTTGTATGTATTTGCAAGACTAAAAAAATGCTTTTCCTTTTCTTATAGGTGCATATATTTTTCAAACCTCAAATTAGTGTAGGTACTAATGCTTCTTTGAAATAAACTACTAGCTATCTAGTTTCAATGAATAAATAAAAAAATCTCCAAATGACTCAATTGTGACATGCAATGTATTTATGGATCATGAATGACAAAAACCAATAAGTAGGAATATGACCTTGGTAACGAAACTTGAAACAAAAGATTCTTTTAATGGTTTATCTTTTATTTCAGTTTCAGTAAAGTAAAGATACCAATATTATTACAGACACAATAATTATCTAAATTACTCAGACAGAAAAATTGATGTTGATTCAAAAACAATCGGACACGTCATGTTTTAATCTACAAAGCAAATTACATTGAACTGTCCTATTATTTGGCTTCTTATTATTGGTATATTATTATTTTAATTTATGCACAGTTTTTCAATAGGGCTCTAGCAAGGGGCTACTGATTTTGCACTATGAGGAAACATGCATGTCAAATGTTTTAGTTTTTTTAAGCAAGGTACCTAGATTATAAAGTATAAACCTCGTTACGAATTGAAAATATTAAATTTAGCAAGGCCAAATTTTTATTTATATTTTATGATCAATAAAAGTCAAATGCAATATTTTTCAATTCCATGACTAAACAACAGTTTGTTATATGGGTTACTTATCTCAAATTGTTGTTTGAGATAAAAATGATTTATTTTGCGGAAAATTCAATGCTCCTGTAGCTTTAAATAACATTTTTCATGTTTTCAAAAAGTGTACTTTTCAACCATAATAGAATGCAGCCATTATTTGAAACAAACGAAAAAATCTACATCTATCTAGTTCAAATATTACTTAAAAGCTACTCACTACTGGTTTTAATTTATTTCAATAATGACGATTTTGAGAGCAGCCCAGTAGTGTAACTGACCGTATACAAGAACCATTTTACCATCACTTTTTAACGGTCAATTGTGCTGTTTTCCCTAATTTAGTCAGTATATTGGTACGATGACCATTTTAAATTTAAATTTCAAAAAGTAATAAACCAATTTGTGTCAAGTAAGTAAATTCAACCCTTTAGGGTTGACGGTAAATGTTCAACCATCTGCTAATAACCCTTGAATGTGTACATGAAAAATTCTTGAATCCCAATGACCGTCCAAAAAATGTTTGGTAAAATCTGTCTGATTGTACAGCCAGGCACATACGTGAAGAATGACGTCACAAAAGTGACGATTTTTCCGCATCATATTCAAAGACTTGAGCATGGAAGAATGGTGCACTTCATCAAGGAACTCGAGCTGAGGCGTGTCCTCTTCTTCGTCTTGTGGAGGCTCCATCTCAACCTGGATCTCGTCTTTGAGGGATTTCTTGTAGGCAGACTCGCCGTTGAGGTGCGGTGTCTCAATGTGTATGTCTAAATGGAAAAATAGAGGTAGAATGTGGAAATTATTAGTTTTAAATCGTGCACGAAACAACGTAGGTTTCACGCAGATATATTGACAATTACAAAAAACATGCTATAATTATCTGTATGTTTTTACCTTTAATTTAAAAGCAATAAATATCTTTTAAGAAGCACCTGGCTAACAATAAATTATAACAGAAAAAACATTATCCTGCAATAAATAAAATAATACAAACGGATGACAAGTTGTTATCTAAAAAGGCAACAAAATTTTTGACGTCATTGGGTAGGTATATTAACATATGCCTACCTACCTACTACAGAAATTCCAAAATAAATTTGTAAGTAAACTTACATAAAATAGCCCATGAAGCAGCAGTTGTTGTTAAATAAGGATCAAGAATATTCCACTTGCGAGTCTTTCAAATCTGTGACAATTTCAACATCAATAAAGACAAATCTCGAATACAGACAATTTTTTTTATTGACAATCATAGATAGTTAAGAAATTAAATTCGAGCTACTCCGACACGGTTCAATTGTGATACTGGCCCTGAGAAACGACAGATCTGCGTGACAATTCAAATTAAATAATATGTACCTGCTTGCGTTTAATCCAATTTCAAAAAAGACTGGAGGTGTACCGGATCGATGCTACTTTTCCACGCTTTTTGAATGACGATATAAACTGATTGGAAATTAATTAAATTAGCATATTTTTGCGGGATATAGTGGTTTTTTGATTTCATCAATGGAACTTAATCTTATTATAGTTATGACTGGTGTTTTGCATAGAAGTGTTTTGGAACCAATAAAGACCTGTTGTGAATTATTCTTTGTCATACAAATTTTAATACCTGTAGTTTTTTATTCAATTAAATAGAGGAGTGAAGTATGAGTTATAATGATGATTTTTATTAAGCAAATACTACCTTAAAAATACATACTTATTAGATTTTCAAAATATTCCATGTTCTTCATAACTGTAACATTGTTTTCGTTATTACTTGTCCTATATCTGTTCTTATTTCATTTACTCAAATTATTTATTTGCTTAGTTCTTGGCCTGTCACATATAATATGTATATTGTTTGTTCAGAATAGATTCTTAATTTTCTACTGTACAGGGAGTCTCAAATTGGAACGCCAACATTGGGATATTGGTAACCGTTCGGGATACGAGGGTGGTTAAATTAGACACTATATTCAGAATAAAAGTACCTAGATTACAAAAATGACAAAAAAAATCATGTCGCTAAGAATAAAAAGTTGATGATGGATGGGCCTAAATAGACGAAACGTAGGAATTAAAATTTAGTAGCACCATTTTATTTTTATTTATTAATTTTTTTATGTTTAAGTGCACTCTACAGAACAAATTTCTAAATGGTACACTGAAGAAATAATTTTAAATAATAATGATATGCAAATTTACAAATTATCAAACATATAAAGAATACAGCCCTTGTGATTATGTGCTGATTTCTCTTTTTATTACATTCAGAGCGGTTTTGGAAAGATCTATATTATATGAGAAAAATCCTGATTGTAATTAGTCACTAGAAACGTCATGATGCAATTCAGACCAAAGTTAGTTCTATGCACAGGTTGGAAACAGAGCTGCCTCTGTGGGGTTCTTCTTCCAGGAACCAGAAATCCAATTTCTGTCAGAAGTTCGGGCGAGTTGATAATGTTCTGCACAATCTTGAAGAGAAAAATGAGCTGGTTATTTTTGCATCGATTTTCAAGGCTCTGGGTATGCCTCAGAGCTGTAGACCAGTTTCATACTCAAGATTCTGGTAAGGAAATCGCAGTTTGTAGAGCCGTAACTTGGAGTCCAAATTGGGCTGCAGTATTCAAGTGTGGATCGAATAGAACTGTAATATAGACAGATAATGGACTTCGTATCATATATGTCTCTGGTATTTCATTTGATGAAACGTAGAAGTCTAGAACTTTTTATACCTATGTTGCCGATGTGTTTGTTGAAAAAACAGGTCTTTTCCAAAAGTGACTCCTAGGCCTGTGAAGGTGTCGGCTGTTTCCAGATTGGCGTTGTTGATGGTGTATGTTGTAGTGTAGGATTTATGGTCTTGTGGCAAATCATGTGTTTTCACTTAGTAATATTGAGTTCCAGAAGAATTAAGTTGCACCAAGCGACCAACCTGTCCAAATCCAGCTAAAGGTAGAGTGCCCCTCCACAACTGTGAAAAACTTCAAGTCGTCAGCGTATAGTGAGCAGAGGGATGATTGGAAGCATTGGATGACGTTATTTATGAAAAGAATACTCTATGACTATTAACTCTTGGGATACTGTACCGCACACACCAACTCTTTTGACATCTTTCCGTTAAGTACGATTCTATACATTTTAGGAATCGTTTATCGAAGCCCATATCTAAGAGATTTTTTAGTAACAACTTATGGCCTTTGAAATGTTCGTGAAGATCACGTCCACCTGTTTTCCTGATTTCAAAGCTTTCGTTAGGAACTGTTGGTAGACAGCAAGATTTGTAGCAGTGGATTTTCCCCGAGATTTTTCCCAGAAATCGTCTGTTGCCTCTATAATTATTTACATCAGTGCTATCTCCTGAGTGTTGAGATTTTCCAACTTCTGGGAAAAGTGCCAGTATTAAAAGAAGTTGGAAAATATACTTCAGAGTTCAGAGGTTCTATTAGAGATGGGCAACAGCCTTTAAGCAACACTAGGAAGAGACCATCCGGTCTAGGACTCTTTGAGGCATCGAGATCCAGAATTTTTCTCTGTATCTCCTCGACTAGATAGAGCACAAACACAAAGTTTTGAGAACGTGCGCTTCTTTTCTTTGTACCTCTTAATGAAGGTAAATATAAACACCAGAAATATTTGTTTCAATTTCTTACCAGCAAATTGTTGGATACATAAATGAGCAATTTTTGTGTAATTTCACCACCCTCGTATCTCTAGCAGTTACCGATATCTCTGTTGACTCACGAATTTGGGACGCCCGCCCTGTACATATTTGCTTTTTTTCTTCAAAATGTTCAAGTTTACGTTAAATGTTGTGTCTATAGTTATCTCTAGTTAAGGACTCATCGCAGTTGCAGTATGAGTCTGGCTAAAATTTTCGGATTGGTTCACAAGATCAATGAGAAATACAAGTATACTTATTTTCCCAGTTATAAATATTTCACATTTACTACAATGGAACATAAAGTATATGAAAATAGCAATATGGCTTATCTCAGATAGTGGAAAGTGAGTCTGGCTGAAAACCCCTCCTAAAAATATATGAATTTTGCTAAGAATTACTAACCCTACAATTCTATGCATGTTTTCTGACTGGGAAAATAAGTACCGAAAAGTGTCACTGCCTCCTAGACTATAGTTTTGGAGCTAGTCAAAAATGTATTCAAGGTGGCTTTATACGTTCTCATTTCCAGAAATGTTGGTCATAATTGAAAATAAGTTAGATCACTAACCTTTTTTTCAATGAAGAACATAATGAGTACCTCATAATAATATTGTATTAGATATCATAAATATTCCATAACTATTATTGCTGGGGACACACGACATAACGAATAACTATCATCTCCTAGCAATAACCTTCACCTCGTCAAATAATTCTGTCTCAAGTATCTACAGATAACAGTCATAATTTTATCTTTCCAAATTGTTATTTTAATTGTCCTTGGAATTATTCGGAAGCTTTTATAAGTTGACAATGTTACAATCATGTATTAAGTACCCACCATACAAAGTACGTGTATGAGAAGTAAGAAAATTTATTCTTACGACTAGGCATGTTGGTAATGACGCAAATTAAAAGCAGATTAATAAATAAAAAATGTCAAATGTCATTTGTAAGTAACATCTAGCTACGCATTAACAAATGAATCAATAAATTTGGGGAATTGTAGTCCCTGACCTTAAGATATTGTGGGAATATTGATAAGACATCATGAATATTTTACATAGGCATTCATTATTATCTAGGTATTGAGTTTTGCTTTGCATTGTTTCAATAACTAATAGTTAATTAAAATGTAAGAATGTACTTGAACCAAATATTCAATTAATTAAAGGTTCGACCGGTCTTGGAATTTTGGTTCAGGGACAGAGCTTTGCCATGTTTACTCTTGCTGTTAAATTACATTCAAAATTAGGATGCTTGACTCTCAAAGGCCATAATGCGAAATTTATGCAACGGGCGTACAACATGAAGTCAAGAAAATTCAAAAATCTATAGTGACACACACAGTCGAATAGCAAGGCATTTGTTGACCAATTTTCCTTGTGGTCAACTATAAACAGATAGTGATTTGCCAGTTATGTCATCACTTAATAAAACCATTAATAATTATATACTTTTAACATTTGACTCATGAGTTAATAGCCCATTTCCATTGATAAAAAAATTTGAATAAAATATCGCATCCTGCTTCAAATAATTTAAAACAAACGCTTTTTACTGCTTCGTTTTTATAGTAAAGATAAGATGATTGACGTAACCAAGTGTAATTAGTAGGTTAAAAGTTTACCCAAATGTTTTGTTTTAGAAATTTATTAAGTTGTTATAAGGAAATGTGCATGTTTGGGAAAAGGTACCTATTTGTAGTTTGTAATTTGTAGCTATGAATTATTAACTAATTACATGATACTTATGTTCCGACACAAATGAATAAAAGTAACAGGATCATCTGACTTTAAAAAAAAATGCGCAATTGGGTAAATAATACCTACTTGAAATATTATCTATCCATTCATCACATAATTATTAAATTATTCTCATGTGACAATAACAACAAAAATCTGTTTACCATTAAAATTACATGCCATGACATGGTATTTGTTGTAAGGTGATAACTGGCCATATTATTTTCAGGCGACAAGTGATGAAACTTAAAAGCGTACAAATTGTAACACACAACAAATCCGGTCAACTAAAATTTAATTGGCTCTTCATAGTGGTCCCGGATAATACTCAAGTATTTGGGACAGTGGCCAATAATAAATTTTAATTATAATCTTGATGCCAGACAAGTTTCAATGGTTTGCTGTATTCGATTTGCAAAATGAAGAAGGATAGACGACTGGGTGCTTACTTCTGCACTCACAGTTTGGCTATAAAATATTTTATATGTTTCTATCTATATCTTTAGAACGTTGACCCCCAATCAACAGGTATTACTTGGCATTGAAAGGCGATTCAGACAAATTAATTATCATAAATTAGAAACTCTCGAGATACAATTTTTTTTGCCGCCTGCTACAATGAAGGCATACATTTCTAGCAGGACGTTTACAACTCGGGTTACAAGTATGTAATAGGAAATTAACCATAATCAAGTGTTACCTAAATAACAAAATAGTGAATCAAAGTTGAAATACAGAATTGCTGTCTTGGTAGCTAAATAATGTGATACTTGACAAACTTTACCAGAATTTATTTCAAAAGAAAGGCTGACTTTTTCCATTTTTTAATGAGTGCCTTTGATCAAAATAATATTTCGTGTGATTCCAGTTAATAATTTAACAATTATTTCATTGAACATCAGTTGTTGTAAACCTGTTGCTTCTTTCATAAATATAACGCTACTTTAAAAGAAGAAATAAGTCATAAAATGTTGCGTTAATACATTGACTGGGTACAGAGGCCCTAGGTCGGTACTCTATCGACCTTGGGCGCCTATTTGGCTGAAAATTCCAATAGTTATAATGTCTGTATATCCACGTCTTATCTAAATAATTGCTGATGCAAGCTCCTGTGATATTTAATAACATCTTTGATGAATTGGTATGAATTGCATGTCATGTATTTCATATGACCACCTCACCTACTATCTCCTACATTTGCTTTTAACTGTTTATAAGCATAAATAATTAAAAAAATCTTACCGTTCATCATGGATATTATTATGTAGGTAATCTGTAAAAGAAATAAAATTCAGTAAGGATTTTCAATCGAATAAATAAATTGGTTAATCTCAATACCATAAAACTTATTCTAATAAAATAGGGTAGCGAATAATGGAGAAAAAAACCACCCTTATCCAGGCTAAGGCTATCATTATATTGCTTGTTATTAATACAAAAATCCATATTATGCCTGGCAACTATTTATTTCTATTGTTGGTTTTCTTTTTGTTTTGCATAGAAATGTGAACCCTAAGTAGGTAGGTAATATGAGAAAAATTATTGAACGATAGATAATAATAATCAAACAAAACTATTTTGAGATTTAATTTGTCAGCAGCTACCTTAGCAATAAAATCACTTTAGGTCTTGATGAAACATATCTCTCGTGAAAACTGCAGTCCTATATTCAAAATAGTCTCCGAGAAAATTCCTTGTGAAGATAAATTATGCAGGATTTTGTGATGGGTTCAGAATAGATTTCTAAAAGTGACTGCTTACAGATTGGGCTTGGCGCATGATGAATATACTTATGACGGGATGAGGGCTTTCTTAAGTGTTCATACCTTGCAAGGCAGAAGACTTCAGGCGGACCTTTCTTTCCTTCACAAACTTTTGAGAGGATTAATTGACTGCCCAGATCTTTAGGGTCTCGTTTCTTTGAGAGCAGGAGAAAGAAGAGTGAGAGGCTCTGAGCTGTTTTATGTCCCATTTCATAGTACTAGTTATGGTATGAATGATTCGATCTCAAGGGTGCTCAGGTTTGTCAACTCAAGGAGCTGGAGTATTGACATCTTCGGTTGTCTTTCTGTTGTTGCTTTTAAAAAAGAGATTGCTACCGTTGCCAGCTGGATAGTTCCTCAAATAAGATGCATCTGTTTTTTAGAATTAACAGCGATTGAATAGGTAGTCATTAATTTGATGAATTTATCAGGATGTTGTTTGTTATGTGCTTAGGTTGAGGTATGTTGTAAAACTAGTCATTGTGAATTGTTGCCGTAGATAAATAAATAAATAAAATACATATAGTAGACTCTCGATTCTGCTCTCATAAATTATTATCCGACTCTCTATTTTTCGATTGCTTGATGATCCAAGTTGAGTAATACCGCGGTTGAAATCCATATTAACCCAGTGACGCCGTAATATTCGAGCATCAAACTGACTGACCTAAAGGGTACAGGGAAGTCGTTATTATATTTCTATCTGCATACATAGGTGCTTGTGTACGGAATGGTACAGCCTCGGATACAGTCCACGTTAACGCGCATAGTCGAAAGTCTATTGTATATTTCAATTTTTCTTTTGTTCAATTGAAAATATTAGGTATACATTTACAGGAAAAAGCTATAGATATGTGAAACACGTTTTTTTTCTTATGTTTTTTCTGAACTTCTCTATGAGATTAGGCGAGCGGTGCAAACAATTGTAGACTTGAAAACAATTTAAATTTCAAGAGGGTGCAAAATGTAAATAAAAATCACGTTTTTGGGGATAAAATAATGTTAAATTAGCTTTTATGTATATGAAGATAGGTTAACAGACAAGATAATGCCAAATGAAATCAATGGAGCAGAAAGTATAGACGAGCAATGGAGGAGCCTAAAAATACCATCCTCAACTCATTTGAAGGAGCCTTGGAAAAAACATATAAGAGAGATAAAAGAACTAGGAAAGATTCATAAAATAAATTGAAAAAGAAATGCACAAAAACTAGAGCAAGATATACCTATGTATGGAGAATTTTAGGAAGATATAGGTAAATGGCAGATTTGTTTGTTATAACCCAATTAGATTTACCGTAATTATTCCATTGGCACCCCAGAAGGCAACTACCTCAGCAACTACGTTGATGATGGCAGACAAACAAAAAGGAATGAAAATGGGAAACTCTGAATGTCAAAACATACAAAAACCCGTACAAGACTTTCCAAAAACTTACAGCTCAATCGTAAGAACAAGAACAAAGGAAAATCGAAGTGAAAGCGAAGAAGAAAAATGGGAAACACCACTGAAACAAACAACAAATGAAATGTTAATCAAACCAAAGAATCCTGAAAAAACTGAAAGTGTTCTGAAAGAAATCAAAAAGAACTTAAAGGGCACCGGCACCTGTGAAACATTTAAAAGCATCAGGAATCTGAAAAATGGCTCCATAATCGTGCAATGTAATGATGTGGAACAGAGACAGAGAATACATACAGCATTAAAGCAACAAGACACCCTGGAAATCAAAGATTTTGGTAATAATAACCCAATGATAATTATAACTGGGATAGATTCTGGTTATGAACATGAAAACTTTATCACAGAATTCATTAATGACAACCCAGACATCAAAACAACGTTTGGGGAAAATGTAAAAGAGAAAATAACGTTTGTAGCAAAAAGGAAGTGCAGAAATAGTACTAAGGAAAACTGGATCCTACAAACACCGCCAGACATCTTTAAATGGCTAATCAGAAAAGAAAATCTTAATTTTGATTTAACCAGAGCATATGTACATACAGGAATATATTAACCTTGCTATGTGTTATAAATGTTGTTATTTTGGCCATGTATCAAAATACTGTAAAGGCGATTTATGCTGCTTTAAATGTGGAAGAAATCATGACGCCAGTGAATGCACATCAGAAAAATTGGATTGTCCCAATTGTAAACGGATTGGGCTGCAGGAAAGGATACATACTGCCAAAGATTTAAAATGCCCAGCTTATTTGAGAAAAATTGATAGACAGAGAGAATATACTAACTTTAGTACAGCAGAAACTCAGGAAAGACATTTTTTATAAAGAAAACCGGCAACAAAGAAAATACACAGATTGAAGCATCAAAATTTAGTATAATACACCCAAATGTGCAATCTCTAAAAAACTCCACCAATATAATTGATCACTTGACAGAACTACATAAAGACTGCATATATTATGCATTACAGAACACTGGCAAAAGAAAAATCAGATAGGCGCACTAGGATTGAAAAACTTTAAACTTGGATGAAGCTTCTGTAGAGAAGGCAGGTATGGAGGAGCAGCAATCTACGTACACAGACATACAATTTATGCAGAGGACAAAAATAAGGGATATGTCAGTAGAGGATATTTTTGAGTGTGCTAGTGTAGCGTGCAAAATTGAAGGTATGTGTCTTGTAATAATATCACTTTATACACAACCAAAAAAGGACATGAATAGTTTTATAAACAGATTAGAGTCAGTTCTTGATCAAATTATCAATGAAAATAAATATATTATAATAGCGAGTGACTTTAACATTGAATTGTTGGAACATAGCAAAGATAAATAGGAATTCCTATCTGTCATGAAATCGTTTAATATGTCTCAAACTATTCATATGCCTACTAGGATTACCGCTACAACTAAACACTGTATAGATAATATTTTTACTAATATTAACAAACAACATTTAGAAAGTTTGGTTTTAGATACTGTTATTTCCGATCATACTGCCCAAAAAATTATACTGAAATCTAATCTTACTGAAACAAAAAAAAACTATTTTAAAAGATTTTTTGATGAAAATAGTAGAAATAACTATGTAGCTATACTTGAGGAAGAACAATGGTTGAATGTTTATCAGATCGATCGATCAGATGTAAATAAGCAGTGGTCAACATTTATTAATATTTTCATGCCACCCTTCAATCAGTGTTTTCCTAAAAAGTTACTTAACCCTGCACACAAACCAAATAGAATATATGTAAATAACGAAAACGTAAGTAGGGTAAAAAATAGGCTAGATATTTGTTTAATGTTAAAACGTCAAAACAGTGCATATAATGAAATGTATTCAAATAGACTGTGAGATAGGGGCTGTTTAGTGGAGTCATTTTTTTTTGTCTGGCATTTTGAGGGTTGAATATGGCTACTAAGCTGATGAGAATATGGGTGATTTTAATGCCTGCCTCCCGTTCGAAAATTTGCAGAAGAAAAAAATTGATTTATATGAAGATTTTTTTTTTAATGATCTCAAATTTTTTGGCTTCTAAATAAAAGATCGACATTGATAAATAATTCACCCATAAAAAATACCAGATGCTTTTCAATTCCGTGTTTACTTTTTGACTGGTAATCGAGAGAATGGAAGGTTTTGTTGTAAAAATAACGCTGAAAAATCGCCAGACGGTAATCACAGTTCGAAGTCGAGTTTTCCGGTAAAACATTCTGTGGACATTTCGAACAGGGGGCAGGCATTAAAACCACCTATATTCTCATCAGCTAACTAGCCACATTCATCTCTCAAAATGCCAGACAAAAAAAAATGACTCCACTAAACAGCCCCTATCTCACAGTCTAAAACGTCAAAAAAGAATATGATAATCTCCTTGCAAACATCAGAACCCAAAACTATGCTAATCGTATCAGCAATGCAGATAATAAAAATAAATGCATGTGGTCAATATATAGAGAGATAACAAGCAACGTAGACGTGGGTAATACTATGATGGAGGGAGATCCTAGTGAGATTTCCAACAATTATAATGAGTTTTTATTAGAAACAATACCGAATACATTAAAGGACATACCATATGTTGAATGGACACATAGCATTACCAGAAATAGTAGATCAATTTTTCTCAATCCAGTGGATAGCCAAGAAATCCTAGACATATCAAAAAAAATTAAAAACAAACAAAGCAGTGGAGATGATGAAATACCCACAAGTGTAATTCGACAGGTGGTTCCCGCCATCATAGATATAATGTGTTATATGATTAATAACTCACTTAGAGAGGGTACTTTTCCCGAAACTTTAAAATTATCAGCAATAAAACCGTGTTAAAAAAATAAAGGAGACAGCAATCTGATGGATAACTACAGGCCGATCAGCCTGCTTCCGGGTTTCTCAAGGTTGTTTGAAGTTGTGATGTGTAAAAGAATTGTAAATTTTTTAAAAGACTGTGATATTCTATCAGAAAACCAACATGGATATATTGAAGGAAAGTCAACACAAACTGCAATATTTCAATTTACTCGGGCAATTTTGAGAGACTT